CTGATGTCCAACTTAAACCTTCCCTCCGCCAGCTTGTGACCACTGTTCCTGGTCACTCCTTGCGGCGCTCAGGGGAACAAGGACTCCCCCAGTGCCTGCTGATCCCCCTAACCAGTTTATAACAGGCCACAAGATCCCGCCTCAGCCTTCTCTTTTGAAGGCTGAACAGGTTCAGGTCCCGCAACAGGAGTGTTCGTTGGTGCACATGTGTTTATACATAGAAGGTTCTAGGAAAAATGCCTAATAAGAAGAAATCAATTATATAAGCTGTCTGTAATTAGCTGGTAGTAGTAGAAGTAGCAGTAAAATTATGAATGTGCAGAAAGAAAAGGCATACAGTCTGAAAGCAAAGGGTTGCTGAACTACTGGTCTACTAAATGGCTGGGCTGTTTCTAAATGTCCCAACAAAACTCTGAGCTGTCTGTAATCAAGAGGTGAGGAAGCCAGAATGTCTTGCAAGGTAACTAGTGCAGCTCTGGGGGCAGGAGTGTGCACCATCTTCTGAACACACCCATGAGTGGAGCAGAAACTCCTGTCTCTCTAGCAGTCTCTCTCTCTCAACAACCCACTGGTTCTCCGATTCAAGCATTTGAAGCAGTACTGCAGAGGGCCAAATCCATGGCTCAAGCACCACCCCTCCTGCCCCACCTACCAGAGCTGAAGAGCTGCTCCACTACACGCCGTTCCATGGGTGTCAGCCCCTCATGGAGGTAGCCCACGCCATTCACCAGCGTCTCCTTGAGGGTGCTGTCGTCCAGCTTGTCCAGGTAGGGTGCCAGATCCTTTTCTGTGCAGTGCAGGAACCTGTGGGAGCATGGAGGTCACCTACCCTGCCCCCTCATAACCCTGAGAGGTTCCTGGGTTCTCGGCTCCAGGAGGGGCATTCGCAGCTGGAGACGAGGATCCAGGACACTCAGATGTCGGCCCCAGATGCGCTGTTAGCCACCAATGGTGGTGATGGCATCTCACTGCTATGCCTCCATCTTCCCACCTGTCCCTGGGGTGTCATTTGAGACCCTCATGCTCCCAACATCTAGCACAAAGTCCCATACCTCAGGACCTTCTGGCCACCATCCTCCTGGCCACAGCCGAGCTTGTGGCTGCTGGCAGGACCTAGCATGACGGTAGTGGGCCAACAGCCAGGCGTGTCTGACTGACCACACTGTGGGGTGCATGCTTTGATCATCCCTGCCTTCTGAAAGTCCACACTGGCCACTGCCAACCCTACAGAAGAGGCCACAGCCTCACAAGCACTTAGTAGGTCATTCTGATCTCCACAGGAGGATCAGAGTGGGAACACCCCTACCTCTGCCTTTGGATGTCGGAAGCGCAAGTGGTGAGGATATCGATGGCTGTGAGGCGCGTCTGCTTGCGGGATGGGACGAAGACGATGACGGGCTTCTTGGGTGAGTGCTTCATGATGGCATGGTATACCGGCTTGGCCATGGATAGTAAGCGGGTCTGCGTGTGGCTGATGTTGAAGCCCTGGAAGGGACAGGGGCACGTGACCACTATGTGCTGGAGGGAGGGAAGGAGAGAGGGGACAGACAACCGAGCCTGGCTCAGTCTTACCTGGATGTGGAGCTCCAGGGGCACCGGCCGCACATTGGGGTGGAAGTTGAAGGTAGATGTGGCGCTGCAGCCCAGCCAGTGGGCCACATCCTTGGCATTGGACAGTGAGGAGCTGAGTGCCACGATGCGGATGGGCCTCTCAATCTGAGAGGAGATGTAGCGCATCCGGGAGCAGATCACCTCCAGCACAGGCTGTGGGTTGGATGCAGATGGTCACACCTGGCACTGCCTCACAATCGTGTCCCACCTACCTCCTCTCCACAGCCTTGGGAGGAGGAAGGCCCAGGCAGCACCAACATCCCCACTCCCCATGGCTGATCCACTCCACCCTGGACTTGCCCCATTCTCGCCCCCGATGAGGTGAACTTCATCCACAACAAAAAGGTTGACGTTCTGGACGTTTTTGCGCTGCTTCCAACGCCGGGAGAGGATATCCCACTTCTCAGGTGTGCTGATGATGATGTTGCCTTTGCCCAGGAGCTTGAGGTCTGTGCTGGTCTCGCCCGTCAGCAGCACCACCTTCTTGTTGAGGCGCTCCTGGAACTTCTCGTACCAGTCCAGGAAGACCTGCCACCAAAGCCCCACAGAGGGTCAGACTTCAAGAGCAATTGTGAGGGTGAAGAGGGTTATCATTCCCCCATCCCCTGATCTGGGGGCTCCCTTCAACTTATGTTGAGATGCCAGGATGGGTCACTGTCAGAGACAGTCATAGAATCAGAGAAATAGGGGTGGAAGGGACCTCCAGAAGTCATCTAGTTGACCTCCTGCCAGAGGCAGGATCATCGCTCTCCAAACCATTTATCCAACTCAGTAGAGTGACAAAAATGACGAGAGGGCTGAGGAAAGCAGTTCACAAGGAAAGGGTGAAAGAACTGGGGTTACTGAGTCTGGAAAAGGGATGACTAACAGGGAGAAAACCCTGCTCAGATGCAGCTTACTCTCCCCCTTCCAGCCTCTGCTCTCTGCCACTGTGATGCAGGAGATTGGGCAAGATGGACATATGGTCTGACCCAGTCAATGGCACATCTTACGTTATCCCCAGCACCAGGGCAGTACAGTAGGGGTGGGAGAGAGATATGCTGCTGTCTCTAGGGATCTCTTTAGTGTATATTGACATGTCATGAAAGCAGGATTATATTGACACTCGTATGGGTTGAGGGCCTCTGTGGCCAGCCCTACAAGGAGAGGCTGAGGGACCTGAATCTCTTCAGTCTCTGCAAGAGGAGACTAAGGGGGGATCTTGTGGCTGCCTACAACCTTATCAGAGGACACCAGCAGGGACTCAGGGAAAGTCTGTTCACCAGGGTCCCCCTTGGAGTCACCAGGAACAATGGTCACAAGCTGAGGGAGGATACGTTTAGGTTAGATATTAGGAAGAACTACTTCATGGTAAGGGTGGCCAGAGCCTGGAATAGGCTTCCCAGAGAGGTGGCGCTCTCACCTTCCCTGGAGATCTTCAAGAGGAGACTGGATAGGCATCTGGCTGGGGTCTTATGACCCCTGCCACCCCCAGTGCTCCTTCCTGCCCATGGCAGGGGGTTGGACTAGAAGATCTGTCTAGGTCCCTTCCGACTCATTGATTCTATGATTCTATGACATGTCATGAAAGCAGGATGTTGGCTGCTGCAGTTCACCTGCTTTGTCTGACAGTTTTGGGTGTTAGGTCTGTATGGTGTCAAGGGTGACCACAGTCTTATGTAGAGTTTAGATTATGGATTATATAAAGTGATTTGGACAGGCAGGGTTTAGACTAGATATGACCTCTGGAGCTCCCTTCCAGCCTGACTTCTCTTGGAGTCTATGCCTCAGCCACTCAAGGGGCTCCCAGCCCACATGCTCACCTGCTCAGCAAGCGGCTCCATGGGGGTGATGTAGACGCAGCGTCCCTCTGAGTTCTGCAGTAGCATGCGCAGGATAGCAAACTCAGCACAGATGGTCTTGCCGCTGCCCGTGGGGGCGCCCACAAAGACGTTGTCATCACTGTTGTAGACCGTGTTGAACACTGGTGGGGCAGGAGGGAAGATGCACCATGGATGCATTGCTGAGGGAGAAGCCCCTCCGACACAGACTGAGGCCCACACCTGGCACTGACTGGAGGAGCTAGAAAGGTTCGTTCCCCTCATGGGTAAGACAGATGGGGCCTGACATGTCTCACGTTCCCAATGAAGAGACCAGGGCATTGCCTGCTGATGGGAGCCCAGTCTCAGGGCATTTCAGAGCATCCACTGCAGGCCCCTCAAGGCCTCAGCACCCTAAGAGCCGAGTCAGCATGGGCTGGATGAGGCTGAGGTCCAAGCTCAGCATCCCACATCTACCAGGAACCAGCCTCAGGGGGTTCAAAAGGAGAAGGGGGTTGGAGACATGAGGTAATTCACCCATCTCCTTCCAAGCCCTCAGAAATGATATCATTTTGAAGCAAGAGACCTTCTGACCTGGCCAGTGCTGACCCCAGCATTGTCTACCTCCAGCAATTGGATGTAGACACCATGGCTACATCTAAGAACTCTCTGCCTTGCCCTACCTCCATGAGTCCTGGCCCAGCACGAGCTCCAGGCACTTCAACACCGCTGCCTGCTGCTTTTAGGTTAAATGCGATGGCACAGGCAGAGCCCCAGTGACACAACCACATGGTTACTCCTACGCCAGGCTCTGTCTGGAGAATGAGGGCCAGGCCGCTACCCACCTTGAGTCTGGATGGGGTTGAAGAAGGGGAACTTATCCTGGTAGAGACTCTCAAAGGCACTGTTGCGCAGGGCAGACACAGGCAGTGGCTGCAGGTCCAGCAGCTCTGTGGGAGGTGGGTACTTCTCAGGGAGGATCAGGTGGCGAAATGACACAGGCAGCTGTGTCTCACAGGCTGCAAAGCAAGGGCATAGCAGCACCAGGTTAGTCAAACCACTGCAGATGTGGCTGCTACTTTCAAGATTCCACTCCCCCACCCCTTCCCAGGCTTCCCCAAAGCCAGCACCCCCCTAGGTCTGCCCACCTAAAGTCCAGCAGTGGAGGGGCAAGGTAACCTTCCCATGCCCACTGCACTTTGGCACTGCCAGGAGAGCTGTCAAATTCCATATTAATGAGCCCCAGAGCAAGGGGCAGCCCCAATGCTGCTTCACCATTGGCTGTGGAGGGCTGATGTGCCCCCACCAAGAGGGTTCCCAGCCCCTGCATCTAGCTGGCTCTCCAAGCCTTTCCCACTGTACTGGACCACCCTGAGAGCCACCTCCAGGCAGCCTAGAGGTCCTCCCATGCCACAGACAAGGCCAGGACTCACAGAGCCAGCGGTCAGAGACCACGCGGATGAAGTACTGTGGAGGCAGTGGCTCGAACACAGGCACGAAAAAGGTGATGAGGTGCTCGTCCTGGGCGTATTTGGCTTTCAGCAGGAAGTACTCATGGTGCAGGATCACTTCGCTGTCCACATCCTCCACCAGGATCCAGAAGGCTTCAGATGAGCCATGGACCTGAGAGGGGAAAGGCAAGTTACACAGTGTGGGGGTCCAAGGCTATTGGAGACCCATGAGTCAATGCCTGGTCTCATCACAACATAACAGCACAGCTGAGTGGGTCAGCAAGCCTCACCTTCTCGTCCCACTGGAAGTCGGGGGTGATGGTCAGCTCCACCTTCAGGGTGGACCGTGTGATAGGCTGGAGGTGGACAGAGAGCTCCAGCTTAGGGAACAGGTGGACGTACTTGTGGATGGTCTTGCCCATCTTGGGCATCCGAATGAGCTCCCCTGTGGTGGGAGAATGGAGATGCCCATGTTAGAGTAAGAATGGACCTGACCCGACTAGGGGCAATGCTGCCGTGGGGGTAGCACTCCATGTTGATAAGCCAGTGTTAGGCACTGTTCAAACCAAACCCTGTCCTGAGCAGCTCAGTCCCACAGGACAAGACACACGACATGCAGCAGGCATCAGAGGCCTTGTGGTGATTTAACTTCTGCGGTTTTGGGGGCAGAGGGACCTCAGGAGAAGACCAAAGCCCCTCGAGGACATGAAACTGGCTAGCAGGAGCCCACAATCGCCAACCCCTCCCAATGCTTTGTCCATCCAGGGCAAGAGTGGCAAGAACCAAGCCTGGCTAGAATGGAGGAAAGCAAGTCTCCACAGGCCACAGCATACCAATCTCATTGTGATTCAGGTCATAGAGGCGCTCGAATGGGAAGTTCTTCTTCTCAATCTTCTTCACAACCTCCTCAGGCAGCTTCTTGAACTGGCGCAGGGGACACATGGACTGCCACCTATGAGGTGGGAAGCAAGACATAGGGGGTAAGCAAAGGGCATTCAGAACCCCCAAGACACCTTGGAGACATGGTCTCCACCATGACTGGGTCCAGCCATAGAGAGCTTGGCCTACAGTGTGTGGCCAACAGTGGCATGGACCTTCTGACTCTCTCCCCAGCACAGTCCACAGACTGCACTCCCCAACTCTGCCTGTGCTACATGCCACTCCAAGTCCTTCAGTGAGGGCATCCATGACATGCAGCATCAGAAGTTAAACTCTCTCCCGAACCCTCCGTACCACTCACCAGCCCATGCCCAACTTGCCGCAGTGCCTCTCTCTGATGCAGGCACCAGCTGCCTGGTCTCTACCAGTTCACTCCAGCAAACAGCATGCTCCCGAGAGCCTTCCCCCCACCCTGGCTCCTGCAGCAGCCCAGCCACCTGACCACAAGCATGTGAGGAGTCCAATCCCGGCAGCCACTTACATCCTCTTATCGATCATCTTGCAGAGGTTGAGAGTTTTGTCAGTGAGCTGGGCCCAACCACGGTTGAGGACGATCTCAAAGATGGCACGCATGAGGCGCCCAGCAGACTGTTGGTAGGGGGGAACAGAAGGGCAGCTTTTAGGACAGACAGCCATCAGCGGCTGGGGTCTCCCTATGTACAATTAACAGATGCTCGGCTCAAGAGAACAGCTCCCCTCTCTTCCTCTGATACCCCCAATTGCTGGGACTAAGCCCAGACGAGAAGGGAGCCAGGACTCGTAAAGCTGAGGTAAGGATCCCACCATCAGCATTCTGCCCTCAGAAAGGCCTTGAACTGGATATTGCCCTTCAGAGCAATGTGCAGGAGCCACCTCCCTGAGAAGGCATCCCAGCCCCTTGCGACAAGGGGTGGAATCCATGCTCACCTGGGTGACGTACACCATGTCAGCCATTAGGGCGAAGCCTTCTAGCTTCAGCTGAGAGATGAATGCCTGGAGCAGCACGTTGATCTGGGGAGAGGACAACACAGAACTGATGATCTGGTTGAGCAGGGACCGGCCTAGCACCTACCCTGGCTGTGAAGAAGGGAGGGATCCTGGCTTGCTGAGAAAGTGCGGCAGGTGAGCATGGTGAGGAAAGCCCCTTGCTCCTCACAGCAGGAGAAGAGGAGTCTCTACTGCTCTTCATAGAAATCCTAGGGAAGTGGGGCTAGAAGGGACCTCCGGAGGACACAAATAGTCTAACCACCTGGCTGAGGAAGGATTGACCCTGTCCAAACCACTGCAGGCACATCCATCATCTAAATTCCATATAAGACAACCATCAGCCCTGACACAGAACAGACCTAACACCTGAACCCATCATAGGTAAAGCAAGGGAACCACAGCATTCAACATCTTGCTTCTATGAAATTTGGTTAATATATGTTCAAGAAATCCTAGGCAGAGGCGGTGCCCCAGCTACAGAGGAAGGCCCCATGGTTAAGGCATCTTTTATCCCTGTGATTCTCAACCTTCATTAGGCTCCAGGGCAACCTACATTGTTAGGCTCCAGCCCACCCCCTGACCCTCATTAGTTTCCAGGTCACCCCCAGTGGAGAATCATGGTCTCATCCCATCCAGAAAGCTGGCAGCAGATGGAAGCATGGTATATTCCCAGAGCAGTGGCTGAAAGAAGTGCCCCTTCCCCATGGTGAGGAGCAGGTGGAATTGGATTCACCTTGGCACTGGGCTCCTCTATGCTCTCCTTCACTGGGATTGGGACCCGCTCCAGCAGCTTCTGGAGCTCCAACTTCTCCTCCTGCAGAGAGACAGGGGCAAGTAAAGCCCATCCAGGCCTGGATACACTCTGTACCAGCTCCCTGCCTGCAGCAAGGAGGTCTGGTGGTCCTCTGTGGTGGGGAGGAGTCTTCCCAGCCTCATACCCACCCACTCCCTCCTCCCCCAGCCACATACCTCCCGCACAGTAATGTTCTTGAATTCTGAGGACAGCGAGAAGACCCGGAAAAGCTCGATTTCACTCAGTGTGGGCTTCAGCAACTGGTTGTAGGTCTGCATTGTCTCGTTGGTGATGTAGTAGTGGCTGGCGATGCGGCCCAGCTCTGTTACCTGCAGCAGGGCAGAGGAGGGGAGCCACAGGGATGAAACAGAAGCAGGCAACCACCCCTGGCCACCTCCTTTCCCTGGGGTAAAGAAGGTGCTGCCTTGATCCTGAATGAGACTGCACAGCAGACCCAAAACCCCTGCTTTGGACCCTCCAAACCCTCTGCTCCCAACTTGCAGGACTTCTGGCTTTCTTTTCCTAAGCAATGGACACATGCAATGTGAAGGGAGCTTGCTCGGGCAGAGGTAGTGGTGCCACCATGCCAGACCCTCCACGCGCAGAGCAATACCAGCTATTACTCGGGGATCTCCAAGCCAGCAAGAGAGCAGCCCATACGCTACTAAAACCTCTGGTTGACCACTGGTCACCTACAGAATATCATTAGAAGATGGACCCAGGGACTAAAAATCATAACATTCCCAGACACGAAGAGCCACACAGCTAATGAACTTCTCTGCTTCTGATGATCCACCAGCCATCTCTGCTCATCTCGTTGTGCTTTGTGGATGACAATGACCCTTTATCAATGGTTTTGCTCTTCCACTAATCAAGCTGCTCTTTCTCCTGCACTCTCCTGGTTTTTCAGCTAGTTCTGAGGCTGTCCCTATGCTGCTATTTGGAAGCCCTTCTCTGCTCCTTTAAGCCAGAGGTGTCACAAGTAGGGCTGATGGCACCTTTCCATCTGGCCCGCTGGGTCACTGGATGTCATGGAGATGTGGTCTACTGTAGAATTTACAGTCTCTGTGCCTGGCAGATGTGGCTGTGTCCATGTCCTTCCTAACCCTGAGGAGGTACCTTGTGCCCAAGAACTTGCCTAAGGTCGTTTCCAACTATATTGTTAGTCTAACAAAAGATATCACCCCTCACTCAAAAATCCATGCACCTCATCAATGATATATTGCACTTTATTCCGTACCACAGCCACCCCGCCCCCTCCAGCACCTTGTTTCTGGAAAGCAGAAGGTGCAAAAAGAAAAATTCCCATTGTAGCAGACAGCTGATGGTCACCAGAAGCTCACTCCTCAGCCAGCTCGCTTGCTGCTTTAGAGAAAGGCTATAGTGTTAATTCTTTTGCAGCCATTAACCACATTGGCAGCAACTTTTGACTGCTTCATCAAAAGCCATTGACAGTCTGGAGTGGGGCTGAGAAAAGGTTAAGACTTGGTCTCTGCCTCTGCTCCTTTGCTAGCCTGGAGAGAAGCAGCAGCCATTTCAGCACAGTGGCTCCATGCTTCTATTCTGCTGAAGAAAATCAGCTTCCCCACGTAAGATGCAGACTCTGATTTCAGAAACCCATTTTTGAGGCAAGGGTGCATGTAATATACAAGTAAATACAACACTTGCATTTAAGTAGGAGGATGCAGTTTCCACCCTCCAGTTTGCCAGGCTGCCTTTCCTGGCCTTACCTGGAAATTTCCTGTCTTCTTGTCGTACTTGACGAGGTTGTTCTTGTCCAGCATCAGCGCAGCAGTGTGAACGAGGTCCAGGCGGCGCTGGTCCAGTAATGGATCACCCTTCAGGTCATCGTGTGATATCCCATAGAGCGTTGGGGAGCGCAGCATCCGGATATAAAGGTAGGTGTAGCCTAGCCAGTTCACTGCATCCTATGGAGACACACCACCACACTGTCAAAATGTTTCCAGGGAAGCAGGTAGATGGCAATAGAGGGGCCACGTTGAGGCGACACTTTGAGACTACAGCAAGGTCCAAAATCAAGAGCAGCCAAAGAACGGGGTGTTTCTATAGTGGAGGCTACCAAGCACTCAGCTGGAGGCCACTGGTATTGGCAGAAGGTGGCTTCCTTACTCACTTTGGCGTTCTGGACATTGCCCAGCACGATCTCAGCATTCAGCATATCAGGTAGTTTTGACACCATCTGGCTCTCAATGGGCAGCTGCTGGTTGAGCAGCGAGAGGTAATACTGCAGCTCGCCATGGGATGTGATGAGGATGCCCTCGCCTTTGCTGTCGTATTGGGGTCTTCCTGCTCGCCCCAGCATCTAAGACACAAAGGAGGTTTTATAGTCAAGCATAAAGAGGACCCTTCAGCTTAACCACTGACCAGGTACCTCCAAGGAGTGGGGCTGCCCGGATTGACCCCACTCATTCCCCATTATCTCCATAGGATGTGCCTGAATGAGCCACCAGAGTCAGGATCATTCCTCCCTACCCCTAAAAAATAATGCAGACTTAGTTTGCCAGCAAAATACCATAGTTACCCAAATCTAAGATGACCTCAAATCTAAGATGACACCCCAATAATTAGATTCTAGACACAGAAAATTATATATAGGTTCTAACTTTCTGAGTCTAGAATTCAATTATTGGAGTGTCATCTTAAATTTGTGCCACCACCTCCACCTCCGGAGTTGCTGCAGCAAGGAAACAATAGCAGGGAGCGGGAGGAATCGAGGCCCTTCCCCTTCCACGAGGAGGCAGGAGAAATGGGAGACATTCTCAGTCATGATAAGGGATTCTAAGATGAGGCTTTGTTCTCCCATGATGAATGGTGGTGGGGGGAAATCACTCATCTTAGAATAGAGTAAATATGGTAGCTCACAGAGCAGCCTAGTCAATCAGCGTGGGGTGCCTGGTAAAGCCACAGGGAAGGAGGAGGTGTTTTCACAGCATGAAGCTGATCCCAGAAGGCAGCTCCTACCAGGAGGCAGACCCATCACAGGTCATGGCGGTTTTACCTGCAAGATATCCAGGGCCCCCAGCTCAGTCCAGCGCCCTTTCTCGGGGCTGTACACTTGCGTCCCTTTGATGATGACTGTGTGAGCAGGGAGGTTCACGCCCCATGCTAGCGTTGCTGTGGAGACCAGGACCTGCAATAGCACAAACACAGCTGCTACTAAAAGACAGGGATCTCACTTAGGAGGGAAGCAGAGATACGGGTCCCCACTTCCATGGGACAAAGGTGGAAGCATGTCGGACTGTCCTGAAAAGACATTTCCAGAGAGGGCCACCAAGTCAGGAGTCAAGAGTCAGTTCCCAGCTTTATCACCGACTCCTGACATGACCCCAGGCTTTAGTCACTGTGCCTTTTGTTTATACTGTAGCAGCAGCTTGTATCCAGTGTTGGAGATCTGGACAGTCCTCTGTAACCACCGTGCAGAAAGTAGAAGCTCCCAGGCCATTGGTGGGACACCCTGCTTCTGGATGTTTTTAGCTTCTGTACCTTCTAAGCCACTGGTTATCAACCTCGTTAGACTCGAAGCATCCTTTGGAACAGGGGTGGGCAATTATTTGGGCCGGACAGCCCTGTAGGGAGTTTTGAATGACTTGTCATAGGCTGGGTCAGCACCCCTCCCCCCCACAGCAACTTGACAAAACTCCATTTGGGACTTTAGGTAGATGACAAGCAGTGTTCAGGAGTGGGATGGGTACAATCTGCTTCCTGCATGCCCTGCCCTTTGGAGTGGGGGGGGGGGAATGTGTAGGGGAATGTGTGGGGGGGTTGCCTGGGAGGCAGCTAGGTGAGAGGGGAGGGAGCGGTAGGCAGGGGCCGCATGCAGCAGAGCTTGATCAGTCCACGGCTGCCCCTGTGGCACTCCATATGGGTCTAAGCCATGGAGGCAGCCATGAAGCAAGCAAGCTCTGCTGCACGCAGCTTCTGGCAGGGCTGTTCCCGGTGAGGCTGAAGCTGGCTAGGTGCTGCTCTGCTCCCCTCACCTCCAGTGGGAGTGCCCAAAGTGGGCCAGCAGGGGCAAGAGCACAAGGAGCCACTGCTGAAGGCAAGGGGAGCAGATCAGCATGCAGTCAGCTACAGCTGCACTGGGAACAGCCCTGCTGGAAGCTGCATGCAGGTCACGACCCAGGCTGGCAGGGCTATTATTGCTCCCCTTGCCTTTGGCAGTGGCTCCTCCTCCTGCTGTGCTGCTCTGGGTGGGTGGGCAGGGGTGAGGGGGAAGCTTCAGCAGGGCGATTCCTGCCCCAGCACTTGGGGCTCTGGCTCCAGCTCCTAGCTACCTTCCACTTGCTCATTGCACTGGGTGGGTGGAAGGCAGCTAAGAGCTACAGCTGAAGTCCCACGCGCTGAGGCAGGAGCCACCTAGCTGAAGCTCCTCTCTGCCCAGAGTGGTGCAGCAGGGGCAGGAGCAGGAGGAGGAGCTGGGGCTGGAGGCAAGGGGAGCCAAAAAGCCCTGCCAACCTGGGCCCCAGCCAGTGCATGCAACTTCTGCCGGGGCTGCTCTCAGTGCAGCTGCAGACTGGCCAGGTGCTGCTCTTCTCCTCTTGCCTCCAGTACCAGCTCTTCCTTTCACTCCTTCCCCTGCTGCACTGCTCCAGGCAGGGGGAAGCTTCAGGTGGGTGGCTCATCCTGGAAGTGAGGGGAGCAGAGCAGCACTGTAAACAGCTCTGCTGGAAGCTGCATACACTGACTGGGGCCCAGGCCAGCGGGCACTGGCAGAAGCATAGCACAGACTAACCTGGCAGGAGTGGGTGGGGCTCAGTCCCATGCAGACCACCATGCGGGTAGCTGTGGGGACGGATCCAGGTCAGCTGGTGGGCAAGACCTGGCCCACGGGCCATGTTTTGCCCACCCTGCCTTAGACACTAACAGCTTTTAATATTCCTTTTTCCTTTTTGACTACAGAAACATCCTAGAGGCATTTTTCTGTTGCAAAGAAATCAGACCATGATGGGTCTCCAAAATGGTTTGGATGCTCCAAATTCCTCATGGAAACCTCTGTGTTTATCTGGTGAACTGTACCTGCCTGCTTAATAGGGCTATCATGACCCAGCACCCTGTGACACCCCAGTGTGCTGTGATCCCCAGTTGAGAATCACTGCTCCATGCTCATAGGAAAGGCTTTCTTCTTCTGGCTCCTAGCTAAGCCCTGTTCATTGGCCGCTGGGCTGCAGCCTCAGACCTCTCTCAGAAAAGAGCCAAAGGTTCTAGTCTCAGTAGGAGACCAGGCCCTAGCTTTGTTAAGACACAGCTTACCAGGCCTGGGATGCCTGATCCAGACTTGCGCTGCACACAGGCCAAGGCAGCAAACATACTGTTCAAGTGTCACGCAGTGAAAGATCTGGACACGCAGCCATACATGTTTCTACCTCGGGAGTGGGGACTCACCTGGATGTGCTTGTCAGCAAACAGATCCTCCACCAACGTCCGGTCCACCCTGGTCATCCCAGCATGGTGAATGGCAAAGCCATAGGGCAGCAGGTCCTTCAGTTCTAGGTTCTGGAGCAGAGAGAGTTGGGGAGTCCTCAAGATAGATCAGGAATGGAGGAAGGCTCATAATGAGCAGTATGGGTGGGGGGTGAAAGAGAATGCAAGCCTAACCCACAGGATCAGCACAAAACACAACCCTGGAAGGCAGCTGACCCAGCGCTCCGCCCACTCTCACCTTGCACTGCTCAGCTTCTGTCCTCAGGACCTCAGTGGAGGCCGAGCCCTCTCGCAAGAAGAGACCCAGAGTGTCCTTCTCCAGACACATATCCCTGATAGCCCGGGCAGTCTTTCCTGTCTCCTTCCTGGAGTGAACGAACACCAGCACCTGTTGGACAACACACCACACTGTTAGTATCGAATTGCTGCAGGTGTACAGGGATGTCTGCTCTCATGCATCTGCTGTGCTCAGATCAGTAGGGTGATGGAAAGGGGAAGCCTCCAAGATGGAGCCCCAGAACTAGTCTAAGAGAAGAAGCATCATGCCTGGATTGAGAACAGACAAAGGGGTCATTGCGCAAAAGCAGACTAAAGGCACGAGAGATGCCTAGTTCTGGACACAGCTCCAGCCAGCTTTACCTCCCAGGCATGTCTGGGAGAAGGCACATCAGCCAAGGAAGAATGTAAGTGCCCAGACTGTGATGGGCAGTGGTTAGAGACGCTATAAATACACACAACACATCTCCATCATGGTGAGAAGGCACAAGCTACCCAGGGAGCAGAGTGAGGCTGCCTAGAGAGAGCCCAGTGAATGGGCCATCACCTCAACTACATGCCCCCAGTCTTAAAGCCCAGCAGACCTACCTGGTTCTTTCCTGCGTGCTCCATGATCTTCTCATAGACGATCTCATTCATGATCTGGAAACGCTTGATGGCTTTCTTCTCTGTGATCCCCACGTAGGTCTGCTCCAGGGGCACTGGGCGGAAGCTGCAACAGAGAAGCATGGGATCAAACTGCCTATGCCACCACCACCCTATAGAGGCCTGTAGCCAGACAAATGTCCTGCAGGTCCTCTGACCAATTTCAACCTATCCCACATGGGGTTCAGTTTGGTGAAAGCTATTTTAACCTACTACCAAGAAGCTTCTGCAAACAGATTAGGGTGGAGGATGAAGAGCTTGCCCAGTTTGGATGCACGTGGAAACCACCGTCCTGCTGGCCACTGCATACCAAACCCTCTAGAACAAAATCTCACCGAGGCCTGCATTGCTTCCCACACTCAGACCACCACTGCAGTACCTGTTATCAAAGTAGAACAAGCCCTTGGCAGGGTCCACTCGGAGGAATGTGGCCACGTCCTCATAGTTCGGGAGGGTGGCACTCAGGCCCACAAGCCTCACATCCTCCTGTGTCATCTCAATGTTGCGGATGGCTCTGGCCACCAGTGACTCCAGGACGGGGCCTCGGTCATCATGCAGCAGGTGAATCTCATCCTGGAGGTGAGAAAGTAGAGGTAGAGCTACTTTGGGTGGATGCAGCTGGGTGGGTGCACAGATGGAAGACCACACTTGTCCCACTACTCGGGGCTGTCTTCTAGCAATTATGGATACTTCAGAAGCACTAAGATCTCCACAACGCCTCTATGGCAGCACTGTAAGATGTAACATCTCTACACTGGCCTGGCCCACACCAGTGTTACTCACCAGAATGACAAGGCGCACCAGCTGGGTATAGGTGCGTTCACCACCTTTGCGGGTGATGATGTCCCACTTCTCTGGGGTGCAGACAATGATCTGGGTGGCACTAATCTCCTCCTTGCACAACTGGTGATCCCCAGTCAGTTCTGCCACGTTGATGCCATAAGTGGCCAGGCGCTAGGAAGAAGTCCTGAGGGGTTAGATCAGGTCATAGGCATATGGCTTGGGGAAGACTTGGGGAGAAGAGACTCTGGGCTGCACCTCTGGGAGGTTGGGCTGGACCACCCCATGCTCCCAAAACCACTGAATGCATTTTCTGGACCATGACAGAAAAGATGCCTGTGGCACAACGCTACAAAGCCTGTAGTGGAGGCATTGCCATGAGTGGCCAAGACCAGGACATCATGGAATTTAAAGTACTAGTAGGTACAACACCCTCTCCTCCAGCTCCAACACAAGCTCCCAAGTCCCTAGCCCAGGGGTGGGCAAAATGTGGCCCAGGAGCCAGATGCAGCCTGCCAGACCATTCTATCCAGCCCACGGGGCCCCTAAAAAATTTACAAAATTAATATTAATCTGCCCTGGGCTGCCTGTCATGCGGCCCTCGATGGTTTGTCAAAACCCAGTAAGTGGTCCTCTTCCCAAAATAATTGCCTGCCCCTGCCCTAGGCACAATTCCACCTCTGCCCAAGTAGGGATAAGGCCAAGGGCTTCCCTTTACCTTCCCGAAGCTGCCCACCATTTCTTGCACCAGAGACCGCATGGGGGCGATATAGATGATTTTGAAGTCATCCACATTGATGGTGCCGTCCATGTTAATGTGCTTCCCAATCTCACGAAGCATGCACATCAGTGCCACGTTGGTCTTCCCCGCACCCTGCAATGGACAGGGAGTCAGTGCTCACAAGCCTAACCCTTTGCCACCGGAGCCGGATATAGAACTGGAGAGAAGTGGGGCTGGAAGGGAGCTCCAGAGGTCCCATCTAGTCCAACACCCCTGCCTGATCAGCCCTGTCCAAACCACTCCGGACACATTCATCGTCCAAGCTCTTAGCAAAGCTCGTCAACCCTGATATGGTTGTAGCACCTGAACCCTGATAAGGCTTAGTACCTGAACCTGTCACAGGGGGACCACAGCAGCCAACATCCTGCTGGTGTAAAAGGTTGTTCAGCTATGCTCAAGAGATTCCAGGAAGAGGTTGTGCCCCCTGCTCCAGAGGAAGGCAAAAACCTCCCCAGTCTGTACCAATCTGCTATAGAGAGAATTGTTCTTTATCTGCTAGATGTGTTCCTATTAGAGAGTCCTAACGAACTTTGCTTCTGCATTCATTCTGCTGGAGAACTCACTCAGGTGCCAAAAGCAACCCCCAGACCTATACAATTTTCTCCAAGGGTCAACACGCTTTTGTAAGGAGAGGCCAGGGCTCTAGGAACAAAGCTGGGCTAGACTCCAGAGACTGGGGCGTCTGCTGCTAATGCATAGAGGAGCAGGTCTGGCATCCTCACCGTGGGAGCACACAGCAGGAGGTTCTCGTCCGTCTCGAGCGCAGCACGGTAGAGCTTGCTCTGGATCCGGTTCAAAGTCTTGAAGCCCTCAAAGCCTGCCTGGGCGTACTTGGGTAACTTGTCCACAGAAACCAGTTGCTGGAAGAACAAAACACTGTGGGCAGCAAAAGCCAGTCCCCCTGCACCGCCAGAGGCCCACCAGAGGCAAGAGATCTCAGGCACATGCAGCTTAGAAGAGGTTTCTTATGAGGCAAAACTCTTCAGTATCCCAATGCTTCTTTATAAATGCATGGTGCAACCACAGCTTGAAGACTGTGCCCTGTTCTGGTCCACCACACCTCCAAAACAATCTAGAAGAACTAGAGAAGGTGCAGAGAAGGGCAACAAGGATGATAAGTGCTATAGAGGAATTTCCATATAAGGAGAGACTAAAGAATCCAGGCCTGTTTGGTATAGAAGAGAAATGATTGATGGAGACCATAAAACAGATTTACAAAATATTGAAAGGTGAAGTGAAAATCCATAGGATTATTGACTCTGAATCAGAACTCCCTAGACTTTAAATACTTAAGGCTGAAAGTGAGAGGAACAATGGGGGAAAAGCCCTGGTGAGACTCAGTTTACCCTCCTGCCCTCTGCTGCTGAGAGACCCAAGAGATTGGGCAAGATGCATTTCTGGTCTGACCCAGGACACTGCAGTTCTGATGTTCTTAGGCCAGGCACTGGAGAGAGACCAAGCTTTAGGGAGCCGTCAAGAAGACTGTAGAGGCTGCCCCCCAGAGCATCCTGAGCCTTGTGCCAAAAGTGAAGAACACCACTGGTAGAGCAGGTGTCTTATGAAGTGGGCAGCAAGGGATGCTGGGTAACCTAACCCTCCCACCATCAACCCAGTGGGACAGGCCTGGGTCACCTACCTCCTCAGAGCCGAAGGGCTTAGGTTTTAGGGCAGGAACATGCACCTCCTCGTAGCCTTTGCGCTGGCGGCGGAAAGAGCCGTCAGGCAGCTGGCACCGCTTGTTGGCCATAAAATGGCTGCCTTGGGCAAACACCAGGTCCTCCAAGTCCAGCACCTGCCGTGGGGCCAGCACCTGGGGACAGCAAGGTCAGAGTCAAGGGACACGTGGGAGACACTTCTGACTGTCCTCTGTACACAGAGTGTTGCCATGGGAACCTCTCCATCCCAAGTGAGACTAAGGTTTGCTGACCACCCCTATCTGCAGCCAGCAAGATCATGGCATCTATGTGATCTCTACCATTTGAAGACATCTCACTATGCTCACATGGTTCCTCAACTGGCTGCTACCTTCTGCATCTCACCGTCATGTGGTGCGACAGCACCTACCTCTCCACCCTGATCCAGGTCCATGGTTTCCAGGTCTGTGTCCATCCGGGACTGGCGGACACGTTCCCTGCGAGAGCGCTCCTCCTGTGAGAGAAAGGCAGATGGTGGTTAGCCTCCTTTGCAGACTGATGGCCATCAAGTTTGAACAGCACCCCCTCCACTAGACAGCGGTGCTATCAGGGCAGATGCAACTACATCTCTCTAGAGAATGGAGGGGTCTACTCTGAGGTGACACCACTGTGGTTGACCCCTTTCACAGCAGCAGTAGGAATACAAATGCATCATCTCATAGCTGCATGCTGGAGACTCAAGGAATCGGCACACCTTAATAGTGGGTCTGGGTATCTCAGTGCATCAGTCTAGAGGCTGTTGCACCAAAGCCCCTCTGAGGAGTGCATCTGCTATGCTTTCAAAAGGAGGCTGGCATCAGAGGACCCTACCACAGAGACTAGGAAGGTGGAATGGCACTGTCTTTTACCGATCACTGACAGGCCAACCATACAGAGTAAGAGTCTGTGTAACTATAAAGACCAGTGTCCACTCCTAGGATGTGCTGCACTGTAACCTAGCTTGCTACAAAGCCGCTAGCTCATTAAAGTTGAGCAAAGCAGCTGCAAGTTTTGTCCAAGTGGAAACTTCATCAAGGCCAGTGGGAAGATGTTTAGAAAGAAAACAAGTATAATTATAAGAACTATCTGCCAAGCTGGGGGCATCAGTGCATCCAGGGTGTTAGAAAAACACCCAACCTTGACAACTCAATTATGCAAATAACCTATACCAGCCAAAAACAGTAGCAAAAATCATGGTAAACATAATGAGAGTGCAAGTAACAAAAGGCATAAAAAATGTGGGAACAAAAGGTCACTGATCTACTGGCCCCTGCTATAAGTTACATATCCTACACATTTCACTGATGAACCACGCAATAAATTTACAGTGGCCACACATGCAAAATAGCTAATGTGCAATTAACTGGTTAATTGCACAATAAAATTTAGACAAGTCACATGTCCAAAGTCATTATCACACCATAAAAATGGCTGTGTAGCTATAAAAGGAACCAACCAGCTACAAAATTAGTGCTTGCAAATGTGTAGCTAATTTGAATGTGTAGCAGGGACCCTAGACTATGCCCCTGAGCATCTCAGTGAGATCCTGGACTGCCTGATCAACAGGACGGGAACCAAGACTCGTATGCAAGGTAACTAGTGTAGTTCTATGTAGAGGAGTGTGTGCTGTCTGCTGAATAAACCTGCATGAGTGGAGTGGAAACTCCTCTCTCTCTCAATAACTCACTGGCTCCTGGATCCAAGATTTTAAAGCAACCTCTGGGGCTAGGCTTCGTCTGGAAGAGGAGCTCACTTTAAAACATGCTCAAGAAAGATGCACGTTGAGCCTGCAACATCAGAAAGAATCTCTACAGTCACCTAAGCCACGGAGTGGCAATCTGTGGCCCACAGGCTGGAAGTTCCTGGCTTTCGCCTGCTGTGGCATAGGGATAGGGGTTGACCCAAACCATGTCACCCTGGCCATCACTCTCGCTACATAATAGAAGCCGCTCTGGCTCTACCTCTCTCTTTCCAAAGGCACCTCCATCCTTACCCGAATGAGATCCTCCTTCTCTGTTTCATGCAGCTGGTACAGGAACTTGGAGAGCTCGGGATCTGATTCCATCTTCCCCATGATCCTCTCTTTCTCGGCCTCACTTTGGGCACTAGCCAGCAGTGTGCAGTACAGGACTGGGGAGAGAACAGAGCTCAGGGGAAGAAGAAACAACTATGCATAAGGGACACATGACAGCCAATGACAGGAGGGGGGAGCAGGAAGCAAAGGCCACTGATAGTAGGTCAGCAGGGAGGAGTGGAAGCTGGCAGATGTAGGGCTGGAAGCCTACTCACAGGACAGGTGAAGTGTGATGGTATCATGGCAAATATAGGAAAGACACCCCCCACAACCACCACCACCACGGGCCCAATACTCACTCATCATCCTGTGCTGCCTCAGCACTTTGATGAAGTCAAAGGTATTGAAACCCAGGAGCAGGACAAGCTGGTTCTCACACTCACGGTCATCGCTGGCTGTCTGGGAAGAAAAGGCATGGAAAGGCCAGTTACTTATCTGCTGCCCACAAAGTGACCCCTTAAAGGAATTGGCAGGAGGGTACAGCTCTCGTATCCCAGCAGGCAGGGCTCCAGGACAGGGCTGGATTCAGCTGGTGGTCTTGATCTAGCACCTGGGGCAGGCCCAGTAGGGACCCATCTAGCCATGTAGATGGGGGTGGGGAGAAGCCTTGGCTCTGTAGACTAGAGACTGGCATCAAAATCACACCAGGGACCTGACTTTTGACAGTTCCTAGCCAGCAGTTCTACGGTAGCTGTCCCCAGAGAGAACATTTCTACCAAGGAATTAAGCCTGTCATAGTAGCAGGGATGAGGCAAGCTCTTTGCCTACATTAACGCGTTAACACATATGATAGACGCTGCAGCTTGGGTAGCTCGGGGCCCAAACACGCTTGCCCCTAGGAGGTTGGCTACGTACTTTCAAGATCTCCAGCACCTCATCCGCCTTCTTCTGGGACACAATGGCATCATCATAGAAGCGGCTCAGTTGCCGCTGGAGCCAGAAGGCATCAATGTCACGGGGATGCAGGTCCTTCTTCTTGGAGCTCATTAGCTCCCCAGAAGCCACAAGCTGAAGCAAAGAAGGCAGAGTCACCGGATGGATTCCCTCCCAAGAAAAAAGCTTTCCAGTAAGACAGAGCAGCTGCTATCACTTGTGCAAGCAAACCACACTCCTTACATTTTCCTCTTCCCCATCATTTCTCAGGCTTCTGGGCTTTGCTGGCTTCTGTGTGGGACTGGGAGGGAATTCTGCACTTGCCTCCCTGGAGGCTCTACCACATGTTCAATTTAAAGCAGGATACAAACCAGCTACAACGTTACTACATATTTCCAAGTATTAGCTTTGTAGCTTCATAGTAGAGTCTGAAGGGACCTGAGCAGATCATCAAGTCTGACCCCCTACCATGGCAGGAAAGAGTACTGGGGTCAAACGACCCCAGCAAGGTGATTGTCAAGCCCTGTCTTAAAGACCCCCAGGGCAGGAGCCAGCACCACTTCTCTCAGAAGTTGGTTCCAGATCTTAGCCGCCCTGACAGTGAAGTAGCGCCTCCTGATGTCTAATCCAAATCTACCCTCTGTCAGCTTGTGACCGTTATTTCTAGTCACTCCTGGTAGTGCTTGGGGGAACAGGAACTTCCCCAGTGCCTGCTGGTCCCCTCTGACCAGTTTGTAACAGGCCACTAGATCCTCCCTCAGCCTTCTCTTGTGGAGGCTGAACAGGTTCAGGTCCTGTAGCCTCTCCTTGTAGGGCCTGCCCT